ACATTTCCATTTTTGGAGTTAGAGAAGGATCTACAAGGACAATAAAAAGTTGTGGGACTAGGTGTCTTGCACTATACCTTCAAAACAATTCTTTTGAATAAAAGAAAATAACAATTAACACTAAAATAATTAAATAAATACCCAAAACTATTTGTCAGTAAGATTGCTCATTCGAATCTAATCCACATAAAATAATTTTGTTTGTCATCAATCACCATTAAAAAAAAAATTTTTTTAGAAAATTACATATATATATAAATGTGTATTGATGACCATTGTAATAATTAAATATTATCAAACCTCCTGCTAGTACATTGTTCTTCCAAAGATATATACATGCGTGTGTTTAAATAATTTTTACTAATAAATAAAATATTATCCAAGAATTTAGTATATAAAGTTTATATAACAAAATTTGATCACAATAAAAAGAAATAAATAATAATATTTGCAAGCAAGAGTTTATCTTCCATTATCACGGATAGCCCTCCCTCTCTCATCTATAATCCACTATTGTTACTGTTGTTATTGTTGTTAACTATTTAAAAGATTTAATGAATGATTGAATTAAATGCTTACTGCTGGTTAATTCTAAACCACCATCTAATAATAACTATGATTGTTGCAATCAAAGAGGATGAACAAGAAGGTATAATGTTATTATAAAAGGGTGTTGTCTCAAATGTAAAATCCTATATAATAATAAATAGATTAAAAAAGATAATGGTTAAATATTAAAAAAGAAATGATGACAAAGTCTTAAACATTTACTTTTAATAAAATTTTGACCATTCATAATAATAATAAAAATAAAAATAATATATATAAAAGTAAAAAAATAAAAGTTACCAAGTTGACAGGTTTAAATAGATCATGGAAACCTTTAAACTTTCATTTCTAATACAACCTACTTAAATTCACTTGATCGACTTGATCAGGTATTTCCAGAATGTAAAGAAAAGTTGAAAATATATATATAAATGTAAAAAAATATGTATATTTCATAAAATGGTTTTTGTGCGCAGTCACGAGACTATTTCTATTCTAAACTCAATTGAAATAGCCTGTTTCACAATATAAAAAAGATCGACGATCGATTTTGTCACAAAGTGATAAAACGAATGTCCATTATACTGAAAAAAATTTTAAAATTTGACATTTTTTGAAATTTGGCCACGAGGCGCAGTAAATGATGGTTAAGAGGTCCCGCACCATACAAAGTGACATTTTTCTTCAGCCGATCATAATTAATAATACTACTATTTATGTTCAATGGTCCAGCAAAAATATAATTTAGAGAATAACAACTTGAATTTTAATAAAAAAAAAATTTTGAATTATTTGATTGACGATCTGTCTATAAAAAAACTTTTGCAAACATTAAAATTTATTCATTGGTGTAATATCATGTGACTTATGATTAATTTGATAATAATAAAAATTGATTTTAAAAAAATTTTTTTTTTAGTTTCTCAAAAAAAATTTTCAATCTCGGTTCATTTAGTGTACTTTTTCTCAACACATAATTAATAAATAAAGAGATAATTTGCAAGGATGGTTGTAAGTTGAAATTATAATTAATTTATATTTATATGTGGTTATAAATGTAAATAACATAATTACCAACAGATGAGTATAATGATGATAATAATTATTATTAAAATAATAGTTAAAAATTGATCTTCTTAATCCTACACCTGAACGTGAGAAACGTAAACATAAGCTTAAAAGATTGGTTCAGAGTCCAAATTCATATTTTATGGATGTAAAATGTCCAGGTAAGCAATTGCATTTTGCCATTGCAACTTTATTTTTTAAGAAATTGATTGATTGATTAGTTAATAAATAAATAATGATTATATTATCAATATTAGGTTGCTTTAGTATTACAACAGTATTTAGTCATGCGCAAACTGTAGTTTTATGTGGGTCATGTGCTAATGTTTTATGTCAACCAACTGGTGGACGTGCCCGTTTAACTGAAGGTATTAAAAAAATAGAAATTGTGAATTTATATATATATATATATATTTATTAATAAACATTTACATAAATAATTGGTTCCTTAGGTTGCTCATTTAGAAAGAAAATCGGTTAAAAATCATTATTGATATTATTATTATTTTATTATTGGATTATTATTTGAATTAATAATATAAAATAAATTGTATTTATTTTTGTTTTTTTTCCTATCAAAAAAAAAAAAAAATTTGATTTTTAAAAAAATTTTTAATTATTAAATAAATAATTTTTATTTTCTTTCATCAAATTATTTTTATTTATTACTTGACATTAATTGAATTGAATTGAATTGAACTTTGAATATTAGATGAATTATTTAATTGATTGTTAAATTATTATTATTATTATTATTATTATTGATTTGTTTAATGCAATATAATATTATAATATGCGTCCAAAAATAAAGATCCGATGGTTAGCTATTGCGTTACTGCGGAAATATTTTTGTAATACTATCAAAATATTTTTGGTTGGTTAAATACTTTATGTTTTTTAAAAAAAAATTTTTTTCTTTTTTGGTAGAACAAAATCTTTCCTTTTTTTTTTTTTAAATAAATTTTCTTTTTCTCTCTCTCTCTCTCTCTTTCTCTCAACTAGATAAATATTATTTAATAAAAAAATACAAAATATACTAAATTAAAATAAAATATGGGTGAATCACGAACAGAATTACTCGCGTGGTTAAATGATTTGTTACAAATTAATTATACAAAAGTTGAACAATGTGGAACAGGTTGGATAAATCAACTGATGGGAGAATGCTTGTCTCTCTTTCTATAGATTAACATTATTTTAATAATGTTTTGATTAATGAAAGCTTTATAATTAATTAATTGGTTTTATATTTTTTTATATTTAAAACTTTAATTTTATTAATTATTTAGGTGCTGCTCTTTGTCAAGTATTCGATTCTATATATAGTAAGGAATAATAATAATTGTTATAATTTATAAGCATCCTAACATATAATTCACTAAAAAACCAATTTATTCACCATACTTTTTTTCTTTTCTTTCTATTTTTAAATAAAAAAGATGATGTACAAATGAGTAAAACTAAATTTAACGCAAGACACGAGTATGAATATGTTGCAAATTTTAAAGTATTACAGACAGCTTTCGATAAACATAAAATTGATAAGGTAAAAAAAATTTTTATTAAAAAAAGGAGAGTTTTCTCGTCTTTAAATCAATAGGATAATATGATCTGCAAGGGAAAAGGATTTTTTGAAACTCTTTTTTTTTCATCATTAGATATAATACACACACATATAAATCTTTGTATAAAATATTTGCATGTGTGCGTTTATTGTATCAGTGGAAATATTTATAATGATCTGGAGATTTAATGATTTCCTAATAATAATATTATTATTACAAGTCATAATAATAATGATTGATGATGATCTCTTATAATCTTTATTATTAGATGATACCAGTTGAACGTCTTGTTAAATGCAAATTCCAAGATAATCTTGAATTTTTGCAATGGGTAAAGAAATATTGGGATACTTATTATCCAGGTGGATCCTATGATGCTGTTGCCAGACGAGGACCTGGTACGGGAGGTCCTATCAAAACAGTTGCAGGCGGTGGTTCTTCTAGAACTATGCCTAAAAAACCTGCTGCTAGTAGTTCAACATCAGCTGGTATTTGTCAATAAATTATATTGCATAGTTAAATGTAAATGTAAATGTAAATATAAATATAAATTTAATTAATTGATAGGTCGTTCAATGGGCGGGGGTGGATTAATCGATATCGTACAATCTTCTCCGATGTTAAATGACTTAAATAAACAAGTTTCTGAATTGAAGGGTGCTGTAGACGGTCTTGAAAAAGAAAGAGATTTTTATTTTGGTAAACTTAGAGATATAGAAATTTTGGTTCAACAACAAATTGACGTTGAACCTGATAATCAATTAATGAAAGACATTCAAGCTATCCTTTACAGCACAGAGGTGAACTATTTGAAGATTTTATGAATTTATTTTAATTTTTTTAATTTTAAATCCAAATTTACACGTTTTGTATTTTATTAGGATGGTTTTGAAGTTCCACCTGAAGGTGCTCAGACAGAGGGTGTCGAATACGAAGATGAAACTTTTTAATCATATTATTATTATTGTTATTATTATTATTTTAAATACTAATATTAATCATTATTTAAATTCCCTTTTCTTTTTTTTTTTTTCGCATAAAATATATTTTCCTTTTTATAATCTTAAACAAGAAAAATTTTTTAAAATAGATTGAAATCATCATAACTAGCATATTTTTCTTTAAAAAAACGAAGGTCATTAATATATATATATATATATATTACGCATTCACATTATTATTATTTTTTATATCTCATTATTAAATGCATAATTATTTTTCAAAAAATGTGATTATAATAATATTATTAAAAAAGAAGGAAAATTTTTTTTCAAAAAATTCATAAATCATCATTGTCAAAAAAAAATATATTTAGTATATATATATATATATATATATAATATGTACACTCGCATATTTGTATTTAGAATCTGGTGAAGAATTTAATTATTTTTACTTAATAGAATAAAAATAAAAATATATTTATTTTCATCTTTCATTCGTAAACCTTTGCCATACATAAAAATTACATATAAAAATGAAACAATCGCGATTTAAGGGTATGCCACAGTAATTGCACCTTCTAAACACGACATGGGTTCATTTGGACCAAAATTAAATAATGAAATAAAAAAAAATTTGTATATTAATTAAAAGTCAGTTTCCAAATCAATTAATAAATGAACAAACTTGGGTAACTTACCGGTGATGTTTAAGAAATAATCGACACTTTGGGCTTTAGATTGATCAGATTCAAAGTCAACCGACCATGGGAAGATAAAGTTTAAAGGTCTGGTCGGAAGCGGACACTTAAAATCACTGGGTTCGATGAATAATCGCCTATATGTTGAGATTTCAATAAATCACCAAGGAAACCACGCACAATAAAGTTGGTTTTTGGTTCAATTCTAATAGCGCTCGTCCCTATGAAGTGTGCGGTTGTAATTTGTCCGGATGCATATATTATTGGAGTGTACGTAGCTCAGTAAACTCAATAAGGTAGGTGCCAAGACATTGGGTAAAGCTACCGGGAGCGCTTTTTCTTACATCACTGCGTGAAATTGAAACTTAAACGATTAACGTAGCATAGAAGACGAATAAGATGAAAAAAAATGTTATTAAATTTGTACATGTTGAGGTTTCGTTTTTGTTATATTTTTGTTTTTGTGGTTTTTAAGGATTTTATTTATTTTATATTTTTAATATTAATTCTCTCTCCATTTATACGTAACAAAAATAAAATCACCTTTCAAAAATAGTAATTTCTTTTGCCAAAAAACAATCAAATCAACATAAAAGTTTAAAACGTTCTGTAACAAAATTTTTTTTCACAGTGTTGTAACTTTTTACAGAATAGAGTTGTTTTATTATTTTATAAAATGCAACTATACTTGAACTTTCGTTTGGTCAAATCAAAAAAACCAAAAATGGACTAATATTGTAATGATCCTTTCGTATCTTTAATTGACGAATGATTGTTGGATATCAGATATTGGTCACTCTAAATTGTTAAGCGACCTGTCGAAGAATGAAAGTGGAGTCTAACTAATTAAATATTTTTCTGTCTTCTTTTTTTACAAATTAAAACTATTACTAGTATTTCTTGTTTAATTTCATAAAATCAAACGTGTTTGAATTGTATTTAGTGCCTGAGTCTGAAATACACATATGCAGGTCAATTATTAGTGTATGTAGAGCAACTTTTACATACATATGACACTTAATAGTAATACATAATAGTATTATTAATAAAATAAAAAGTGATTGAGCTGCATTTAGTATCTGACTTTGAAGCAACATAGGCTGACCAATGTTGGTATTTTACATAGCACATAAGACAGGTTTCGATACAGATTTTTGTAAGTTTTTAATTTGGAAGATTTAAAATAGAAAACAAAGAATGCTGAAATTCACTAGAGTTGGTAAAGTGAAGTTGTTCTTTAAATAGTGCAATTTTCATTTTTCAATTTTTCAAGATTTATATCAATTAATCTTGGAGAAATTTAATAAACAACTCTCAAAAAACCATTATTATCTGGAAGTAAGTGTACGAATAATATTACGAGAAAATTGTTGTTACACGCCATTCAATTCCGCAAATAATGTAACCGTTGTTCTCAAACTCTAAAGACACCAAGTTAAATTATACAATGTCACATGCTAAACTATTGTCACTATTATCAGAGGAAAGAAAGGAATTTGTATATAAAATTTATAATGAAATACTTAATAATGCAGCAGTTAATTCTGATAGAGAAAGTAGAAAAGAATATTTTTTTTCATTAGTCAATAAAAACAAGGAGCTTTCTGAAAATGAAAAAGAATTTTGTAAAGAAAAGTTTATTTATTATTTTGAATTAAACAATGCAACATATAAAGAAGACCAACCAAAAGAATGTAACAATTGTAAATTGACAAGATACACTGATAGGTTCTGTGAAGGTTGCATTAGTTTACAATTACAGAGTCTTTTCACCACTTGGACATCTGGAAATAACATAATTGATGATTTTATTCAACAATG